ATGCGCGAAGGCGCTTCTGACAGCCAAGAAAGTGGCACTTCTGACAACCAAGAATGTGGTGCTGCCAAGAAGGTGGAAAAATAAGAAAGCCACTCACCAAGGTCTCGCTACACTACCGAGGTCACCAAGACAAAAAAAAAAAGGGGTTGTATTTGTCCACGGTCTAGCTGAAGATTCATTCGCATTTTGCGCATTTGCTAAGGAGTGGAGCAAGGGCCCAAGTAGGGGAAAGGAATGAAACTCGAGCCAAAACATGAAAATGTACGTCGCTACTTTACTTTTACCTTTTTGCCAAGGCTCTGAGGCTCCCAGCCCTTCTATTCCTGGGGGCATCAGTGCAGTTTCTTATTACTTGCAAGCATTTACAAAAGTTTGATCTTTGCCTCAATGATCCCTTCCCTCCCCTCTCCCCCCCCCCGGCCTTCCCTTCCCCCAAGAACCTTCTTAAGACTTTGCTAACACTCTGCCTGCTCTTTCCTGCCATTCTGAGGCCGTCTTGCAGCAAAATGTTCACAGGGCCTTCCCAATGCTCATAGGGGCATACTCACTCACAATAGGACATTCCTGGGTGTACCTGACTGCAATTACAGCTGGACCTGCCTGCATCGGACTGCAATTATGGCCAGAGGGTAGTAAAAAAAAGTCAGTAGTGTGAGTGCGTAGCCCAGTACCGATGAGGGTCGACTACATGCAGCAGTTCCACTCCAGTGGCAAGGTCTCTCTGCACATCACAGTTTGTCCTCGTCGAGTTAAAAGGGCATACTCACACCAGGACCTGGGATGCGGTCACAATTAAAAATGGACCTGCATGTATCTGACCACAGTTACATCCACAGCTCATGTGAAAGTTAGTGAAACAGTATTTGGAACTGAGCCTGGTTTTTTTTTTTTTTTTCACTTTTTCTAAAACAACAAAGAAGACTGAGCATCGGCATGAGAATAGAACGTCATTGTTGAAGTTTGCAACCAGGGGCGAGCTCCCACTAGCAAAGAGGATTGGATGGAACGCCTGAATCTGGACGTGTTTTCGGCACGAATGCAGAAACGCAGTTCAATTTTGATTTGTCCACCTTTCCACAAACGCGTCCAATTTCAGACGTTCAATCCAATCCTCTTTGCTAGTGGGACCTCGTTGTTAAAAGGGCCTTTACCCGATATAGGCCTCAGGCCTTGTAAAAGTAAAGCAGCACGGGCCTTGAAAAAGTAAAGCATTGTCAGAAGGTATCTCGCCAGGTCTCAGAAACGTGAAAGCAGGTCAAAGGTCAAGTTCTCTATCAACAGGCACATCTAAATCTAAGGCAAAAGGGGCATTGTCAAAAGACTTACCTGTTCACCAGGAGCTGTGTATGTCATGTCTGTTCAGGTAAGAGTGTGTCTGTACGTGCAGACAGTGTACCTGTTCGTGCAAAAGGAGAGTGTCTGTTCAGGCAGTAAATGTGTCCGTTCGTTTAAGAGTTGTGCCTGTCCGAAAGTAAAGTCAATAGGCACAGTCCCAGTTCTGGTCTAAGTCAAGGGGTCAGTCCAGATCCAGACTTTGAAGTCCTAGGCCGAGAGGCCTCAGCAGCAGTCGAACCTCGAGGAGTGGCCAGCACTATAAAGAAAGCTGCCAGCCTCATTCCTCGCCAGATCTCCACTGGCTGCAATGCGTGGACACATGCAATGCAGGGTCTGGGACAAAGGATGGGATGAATTGAGCCAA